ACAAATACTTCACAAACATTATGACTGTGAGAGGCTTCCCAGAATGATGTATTGTAACCCTGACTGATGATGTGGCTTGATCACAGGGGTCGTCATGGTTACATGTTGGAACCGACCAGCCCTTCAAGTTGATTTCCATAGGTGCTGTCCACCAGGTTTGGGCCATCGCTAAGGATGGCTCTACGTTCTTCAGGGCCTCTGTGTCCACCCAGAACCCGGCAGGCGAGGGAATAACCTTCTATCATAAAACCTGTAGATTAGGGATGCACCGAAATGAAAATTCTTGGCCGAAGCTGAACAAAATGAAACACTGGGCCGAATACCGAACACGGTTTTTCGCGTTTTTTTTTTCACCATTGCATAAATTAAATAGCCAAAATGTGCTTTTTACTGTTTTGTCCTGCTTTTCAAATAAAAAATCTATTAAAAAACAACTATTTAAAAATATTTACTTAACACTGAAGATTTTTTTTACATTCTAGCAGACATTATACCAGCAAAGCACTATTTAACTTAAAATTAATAAGTTAGTAAAATATTTTTTGGCCATTTTTGAGACTTGAATCAGGCATGTATTTTTTTACTGTACAAATAAAGGCAGCCTTGTTGAGCAGAAAATAAGTATTTTAAAACATTTGAATATATTACAGATCCCAATTTGAACACTATGTCTGAATGTTATAATAAATGTATTAATAGAGCTGTTGTAGGGTAATTATTATTATCATTATTATTGTCTTACTTTTTATTTTATTTTACAGAACAACAGTGAAATTACAATAGGCTACTAACATTTATGAATGCTGATGGAGTTGTTGCTTTTTCTCTGCTTTTATTTTGGCAGAAACCCGCAGGAAAATCTCAGTGCTTCTTTTTGTTGATAACAGCATGCAGATTTATGAATTCATTACGAATTTGGGAAGATGTTTGTTGCACGTAGCACATTGTCACATGCCTTTAAAAAAAATCACAAAAATGTTACTGAGCAACTGACGAGTAACACAGTTTTAGCACAGATTTTCCTCACGCTTTGGACCCTGGCAGAATACATGCAATTCGTGCGTGCATTAGAAAATATAACATTCTGCAGGTTATTTACTAATCGTTTGAGGCCATTTCGTGATTTCAATCATCATACAGTAACCTAACCACCAGCATCAGCCACCTCTTCTTCTCATGGGAGACATGTGATGCAGAACTAAACAGTCTCTCGCTGTCGGTGCTTCGTGCTTGTAATGATTTCTGCGTCTTTCTCTGATAGATTTAAATATTTTCACACTGCCGACATGTTTGCTGCATTAGTGCGTGCCTCTATTTGATCGCGTTAGTCATTGTTCGGTACATATTATTCGGCCTTTTCGCTTATTCGGCCGAACACCGAAAGATATTTTTTTGCTATTTTCGGCCGAATAATTTCGGTTGCTGAACATTCGGTGCATCCCTACTGTGTATGTATGACCCCATGAAAATACAACAATACATACTTGTCTCTTACGTTACATTTTAATGCAAGTCATGCCTGTCATGCTGATGTTGCAGCATTGCTAGTATTTCTGCAGCAGCATTAGAAAGGTTTGATCTGTTTGCAGGAGATTGCTGGTATCACATCCCCTCTCCAACCGGACAGAAGCTTAAACAGGTGTCAGTGGGCAGGACATCTGTATACACAGTAGATGAAAATGGTACACCTATATATGTCACACTGATAAAAAGCTGTTAATACATCAGTGGCCACTGATACTTTTCAAAAGTGGGGAAGCACAGATGTTACTAATCAATGGAAAAATGTGTACTCTGATCTGTTTGTATATCTTAGTGTCTTGGTATTGCTCCTAAAAGCTGCTTACTTAATGACAAAAATTACTTAACATCAATAATTGATCAAACTTAAGTGTAACTGTATTTTTACAGCAAGATGCAAGATTATGATTTTTTTTATATTATTATTTTCTAAATAAATTAATACTTTTATTCAACAAGGATGCTTATATAATTATAATGTTAGATGAAAAATGCATATATATTTCAAATAAATGCTGTTCTATTTAACTTTCTATTCATCAAATAATCCTGAAAAAAGTATCACAGTTCCCAGCACAACTGTTTTCAAAATTTATAATAAAATATATATATTTTTAACACTAAATCAGCATATTAGAATGTTTTACGAAGAATCATGTGAAACTGAAAACTGGAGTAATGGCTGTTGAAAATTACGCTTTGCCATCACAGAAATAAATTACATTTTCAAATATAATAAAATAGATAAGTTATTTTAAATTGTAATTTCACAATATTATTGTTTTTATTGTATTTTTTTATTTTTTAAAAATACAGACTTTGTTAGCAGAAGAGACTTCTTTCAGAAACATTAAAAAATCTTACGAACCACAAACTTTTGAATGGTACTGTATATAATGTAATATTAAAACTAATATATATATATAGAGAGAGAGAGAGAGAGAGAGAGAGAGAGAGAGAGAGAGCGAGAGAGAGAGAATCTAGAAGAATCCATGCTTCCTGTGCAGTCTAAAGCAATCACCAGTTCTACACATGATGCTTTATTTAAAACCGTCAAATATAAATTGACCCATTGTTATAGTAATGATTCTATGTATGGTTTTGTGTGAGCAGGTAACCTGTGGTACAGACATGGTGTGACCCCCAGTTACCCTCAGGGCTCATCATGGGAGCACATCTCCAATAATGTGCGCAAGGTGTCTGTGGGACCTCTGGACCAGGTCTAGACCATTTCCTTGTAACTAGTTAATGCAGTCTAACTACTGCAGGTTTGCTGCTCTGCTAAATGCCAGATTTGTGGGGGGGGGGTTCCCTAAGGTGTGGATCATTGCAGATAAGGTGCAGGGGAGTCACAGTTTGAGCTGTGGCACTGTGTGTCGCCGGCAGGGGGTGCTGCTGAATGAACCCAAAGGACACTCGTGGGACTATGGCATTGGGGTGAGCTCTGCTGGCATTGTCTTCATGCTCACTAGTTACTAATAGTACTGTGCAGAATGGATAGAAAATGATAAATCATCCGTTTCTTTCAGGGTGGATGGGATCATATAACAGTTAGAGGAAATGCCATGGAGGCACCTCGCATCCTGATGCCATCCCTGACTGACAACGGCAGCAACCAGACGGCAGCACGTCCACTGCAAACCAGTAACCAGCCAGAGATGAACGGAAACCCAGTGGGCTGTTAGTCTTTATGCTAACCGTCTCTACTGTAGCCATTAATTGTTTTCTTCCCTTCTGTAGCACTTCTCTTGTATAGAGCAGAATTACTCAATCCCACTTAACAAATCGTGTGACTCAAGCGCCTGCACATGCAGACCGCTCTGTGTTTTTGTTTGTACCTCAACTGAATTCACATTTTATAGTTAGCTTGGAAGATGTTTTCTTGTTTTGAGGGCTCTCGTGGATATTGAGGCCACTTTCAGTAATGCCCTCTTCATTTTTAACACTCCCATCATTCGTCATTATGTTTTTTACATAGTACTTGTGGTAAGAGGATCTTAATTTTATGTTTATTTATTCATCTGTGGTAAAATCACAATTGCCCATTTGCTTTTTTGATTCTTTATTTGAATCCAGGGGCATTAAATACAAAAGTCCCAGTGTAAGCTACTGAAGGTACACTACAAGCATTTTATATTGAACATCACACACAAACATTTTTAAACAAATACCTGCTCCTGGGAATTTTCCTGCTCGGCTGCAGTGCCGTAAAACAACGTAAAAGAGTCTGTAATAATTTCATAATAATCTGCTTGTAATTGGGTTATTGATTTATGTTCGTATTCAAAGCTGAGACAGCACAGTGGTACTGTACAAATACACTACAGTTCCAAAATCTGGGGTCAGTAAGATTTTTTTAATGCATCCATTCAGCAAGGATGCATTAAATTGACTAAAATGACAGTAAAAGATTTTATATTGTGAAAGATTTGTTTCAAAAATAAATGCTATACTTTTGAACTTTATTCTTGAAAAAAAAACTTCAAAATATTAAGCAGCACAACCGTTTTCAACATTGATAATTGTATCTTGAGCAACAAATCAGCATTTTTAAATGAGTTCTGAAGGATCATATGACAATTTCCACAATATATTACAGTTGATCAAATAAAAGCAATGGTGATCATAAGATATCACAAAAAAAATCTTACTGACCTTAAAGTTTTGAAGGGTAGTGTAAGTTCAGACACTTTATTTAAGACACTTGTCACTGATGTAAGAGTGCAATATTTTGCACTTGAAAATGTGGAGACAATGTTGTGAAACATTTCTCAGGATGTCAGCATATTTGATTTCATTCATAGATATATATGTGGTTTAATTCTGTTTAAAGGCAGCACATTTTCAGAAAGTAACAGTATTTATAACAAATCTTTCCAAATGGTTTGTTAGGATGAATAGTTAGATTTATTCCTATCCTGCTAAGTCATGTTGTACATGTGAATGTATAAATTTGGAATATTTATGGGTAAGTGCAGTCCTAATGTGAAACTGCATCAATTGTGGGACATCCTTTAAGGCATTATTTAAGGTTGCTTCTGTACATACAAAGATATTATATGCAGGCATGAGAGAAACCACTGGAAAAAGAAAAGGATAATATAGTTTTAAATTATTAAATGTAGACAAATAACAGAGTAAAGAGTCATTATTTGGGTAAAGTAAACTCATCTCAATGTCATTAGGTGCATGGTTTGTGTCCTCTGAATAAATATGAAATCTGCTCCGAAACTTTGCATTTTTAATAAGAAATACTCACCCTGTTAAAGGGATAGTTCACCCAAAAATGAGAACTCTTATTGTTTACTCACCCTCATGTCATTCCAAACCTGTATGACTTTATTTCATGGAACACAAACATTGTTTTTTGTTTGTTTGTCCATACAATGAAAGTCAAGGGGTCCAGTGTTGTTTTGGACCCCATTGACTTTCACTATATGAGCATTGAGCAAAGCATCTTCTTTTGTCATGTTTTGGGGTGAACTACATTAATGACCAGCAGACTGTGTCCTTTCATAAGCCAAAGAGTTACTGCTAGCAATTTGGCAATGATAATGGCAAATAACTACCACATTGTTTGTGGGCGACATAATCGGTGCATATTCTGTACATAAATGAGCTTGTTTATGGACCAGCTTTAGCTTGTAAACTCGGGGTTATTCAAATAGACCCTTTTGTTAGTCTTCAGAGCTGGTATTCATCGTCATGCACGTATTTACACAGCGCTCACTGAGTCTGTGGCAGTGTGTGTGTTAGCTGCCCTGGCTGAAGCTGTGAATGTGGCTCAGGTAGTTGGACAGATCCTCCTCTCCCTCCTCCTGTAGATGCTGTTGATAACACTGCAGGAGCCGGGAGGCGTTAGTCTCCATGTCACTCTCGGCGTGAGGCAGGCAGGCGTTTGACATGCCCAGGATGATTGTGGTTAAGGACTTGATGTAGTTCTTTGCCAGTGTGAGAGTCTCGATCTTGGAAAGTTTCTTGTCTGTTTTGACGTGAGGAATGGCCTCCCGTAGGGCCTGAAAGGCATTGTTGAGTTTGTGCATCCTCTGCCTCTCTCTCTCGTTACTCTCCAGCCTGCGGACGTTGCGTTCCTTAGTGCTGCTGTGCAGTCGCCTGCGACGTGTACCCACGCGGGAACCGCCGTGCCTCTCACCCCTCAGTGTTCTCCATGTCCCACCCAACCTCACGGATGCCTCTGAACCCTCCTGCTCGCTGGAACCTGGCTCTGTTTCCAGCGTAAAGTCTGGGTCATCCTGTTCTGCCCAAGACTGTCTGCCCCGCTTTGACCCCTTTCCTTTGGACTTCATACTTGACTCACCCACACCCTGGTGTAGGCCCTAGGATATTATCATTCACATTTGATTGGAGGAAATGAACATGCAAAATACCATTATATATCTATATAAATGACTTCAATGAAGTGGATACTGAAAATATGTTATATGAAGATTAAGTACATCTCAAGTGCTCTCTGAATACTTAGTAAGCTTTAGCTTGTTTTAACATCCTGTACTATCTGTCTGTTTAGATTACAAGGCATTCTTCTAGATAGTGTAATATCCTTCCCTAACCTACACTGTGGTAGCATCTTATTTATCCCAGGTTAACAAAAGTGTAAACCTTTGTCAGAAAATACTGAAAAATCTACTATTGATAATAAAATACAGAAAAGTCAACTATTGATAATGTTAAGCCATAAATGCTGACATAATTAAACTAGATTCATCAAGTGAACAACGAAAATGCACATCGTCTCTATGCGTTGTCGCTGCTGTCTTATAAGCTGTCAATCATCGCTGCTTTTGGGGGGAGGAAAAAAAGTTTTTGCTTACCTCGAAATAAATTTCCACCAAACTCGTGGCGATGTCTGCGCGATAAGAGGCTTGCGGAGAGCGATAATAGTTGACGTGAAGCGCTGTTGTCGTCCTGACAGCCGCAGTCAGAATGAAATGATAACGGTCAGGCGCTCTACCTGTTGCTGCTCGACGTCCACGTAGCGCTTTTGTGGCCAATCAAAGGAGGGATCCGTTTGGTCTCGAGTCACCCATGAGCTGGCGCAAGCGTCGGAAATAGCGATCTGAAGCTTTGTTCACGCTTTCAGATGGTAATAGCGGTCTGTGATATAGCTGCTGTTACTGTAGGTGCTACACAGCCTACAGTGAGGATTATAAATGCTTTTATTTTAAAGCTGTGGACGGAGTTACCAATGCAAATCACATACTGTTGCATTACATTAGTGGGGACTTTTCATTGATAAACATCAAGTGCATGTAGCTTAAGAAAAGAAAAGAAAGAGAGAAAGAACAATACAGACATGGTAGCCTAGTGGTGGGTTTCATGCAGAAGATTGAATTGGTAGGTTGTACTATTTCTATGGTACTTTATCAAGTGAAACACTGTCTAATATTTGCTTAGTTAGATCTTTGCATTTCAAATGGCCATATCATTTAAACACTTTTCAGAGCTTTACTTTAAGGTGATGCCTTCTTGAGCTATATGGTTCTTTGGTTATTATTATAATTGCTGTTGTATTTTTGTATATATATATATATATATATATATATTTATTTTTTTTTTTTTTATTAATTTACATTTTGGCATTAGGTTCAGATATATATATATATATTTCACTTAAAAAAAAATATTATATATATATATATATATATATATATATATATATATATATATATATATATATATTTATTTTTTTTTTTTTTATTAATTTACATTTTGGCATTAGGTTCAGATATATATATATATATTTCACATGTTTTGTGTCAAAAATATCTTACTTGTGGGGCTGTGAGGATTATTTTTATTTTTTTCATGTTGAAATGTTGAGACACGCTGTTTTAAAGCACCAGAGCCATGGTTGTCTAAAGAACAAAATGTTAAGAGAATAAAAAGTCCTTTTTGGAACCTTTTGAGCCTCTCCTGTAAGTATCAGGCTTCTTACTGGAACCTTTATTTGTTTAAGTGTAGATGTGTGCAAAGAACCACCCTATTCATAAACTGTGGTATCAGACAGATCAAACACAGACATGTTTATTTTGTACCTGAATACGGCGAACCTGTTCTGAGTGCCTGCATTAAGATAAGTCCATTTTGTTCTCATTCAAATCTTCAGTTGTGTTTTATACAATATTTGCAGCATTGTATAAGGACGACTAGAAACATAATTTTGCATAAGGGATGGATACACATTTTTTATACATAATAGTAAGACAAGTAACGTGGCGTTGGACAAACAGGACATTTTCGCATAGTTTTTGGGAACAAGCACATTTCACACCTGTTTAATTCACAGCAGATATCAGCTCAAATGTTCCCTCCCCCACATCACTGATGGCCTTGGTCAAGCAGCGTTGGACACAGGCTGGGCAAGACTGACTCCCTGCTCTGGTCTCAGTGCTGATACTATGGAAACAGTTTCTATCTCAACCCTCAGTTTATTTAGTGTGGAACCTCCGGTATACACCACTTACACTGATAACAATCTGCCTGTAAGCACAGACAAAGCTTAGAAAACAGCCTCATACAAAACCATGCTTACAAACAGGCATAAAAACTATACAAACACAACTAAAGAACATCTGACCATTCATTCATGCAAATCCATCCAGGTATCCACTGTAATAATACTCTAGTTTATCAGCACTCCGTAGTACTGATATATTGCACCTCATGCATAACACACCTTTATAGTTTACAACTGTTCTACATTGTGTTAAATTTCAAGATAACTTTTTGATTTGCATACTTCACACAAAGGTATCTTTAAAGTCCTGCTCAAATTTCCCTTGAGTAAATAAGTCACTCATTAGCAACCCCATGCTAAGCGCTACATTCCAGCGAGGGGAGATTGTGAGATGTAAATGACAAATGAAAACATTGTCAGAAGCTTAATGGGGTGTTTGATGAGAACTTAAGGTCATAAGGGACCATGCACACAAACCATTTTGATTAGTAAACAAACATAATGTTTCATGGCTCAATCAAGGCCCAAAGCTCACAGCTGGCTGCCTTCAAGGCTAAATGCAAAAATAGCTGTTTAAACATGGAGCCTTTCAATGCTGCTCTGCAGACCTGATGTTTCTTCACACAGGAGAGTGTTTAAATGAAGTCAAAGTTAAATTGTTTCATTGAATGAATGCTTATTTAAAGGATTAGATGATGTTATGAAAACTGCTAATTAAAGAGACAGTTCATCCCAAAATGAAAGTTCATTCAAAGTCATTTACTCACCCTCATTTTGTTTCCAAACCCATATGATGTTGTCTTCTACACAAAAAGAGATATTTAGCAGAATGTTCAAGTTGCTCTTTTCATATGACACTTATTGGTAACCTGGGGCTGTAAAGCTTCAAAACTGACAAAAAGCAACATAAAAGCATTGATATGACTTGTGTGGTATATAAAATACAAGTCTTTTGGAGTGATGACATAATTATGTGAAGAAAAAAGACCAAAAGACTTGGTCAAAAGAGCAGCGTGTACATTCATCCTGCTTTTCCTGCATCATATGAGTTTGGAATGGCATGAACTATTCCAAAATTATCTGACATGCTTCATCCAATAACATTATGCTTAATAATGTTCTCTGTTTTGCTTCCTCACAATTACATAATGATTTTTTTTTAAACAGACCATCTAATTTTAGTGCTTATACACACATTTGATTCGCTAATCTGACCTGTGTAATGTGAGCAAATAGATATTTTTCGTGCATCACCCATTGATGTCATACTGCCACTTATGTCATCATCTGTGATCTGACTGGACAAAACAGCAGCCAGGGACTAGTGCATTAAAGCCTGACTCACGCAGCGTCATAAAAGGGGAAAGAGGGGGACATGTCAGTTTTTCCATGACCTAAAAGCTGGTCAGATGAGAGGGTGAAAAGTACAACCTGTTATGTCAGTATGACTTGAACAGATGCTAAGGAAATGCATCTTCATAATACACATACAGAAAACATCTGCCAATATATATATATATATATATTCAGGTGCATCTCAATAAATTAGAATGTCATGGAAAAGTTCATTTATTTCAGTAATTCAACTCAAATTGTGAAACTCGTGTATTAAATAAATTCAATGCACACAGACTGAAGTAGTTTAAGTCTTTGGTTCTTTTAATTGTGATGATTTTGGCTCACATTTAACAAAAACCCAACAAATTAGAATACTTCATAAGACCAATAAAAAAAAATGTTTTAGTGAATTGTTGGCCTTCTGAAAAGTATGTTCATTTACTGTACATGTACTCAATACTTGGTACACTCTTAAAAATAAAGGTGCTTCAAAATGTTCTTCAAGCGATGCCATTTTTGGTTCCACAAAGAACCATTCAGTCAAAGGCTCTTTAAAGAACCATCTCTTTCTTATCTTTACCCTAGCCTCAGTCCATTCCTTGTGAAGTTCACTCAAATTCTTGAATCGATTTTGCTTGACAATCATCATAAGGGTGCGGTTCTCTCGGTTGGTTGTGCATTTTTTCTTCCACACTTTTTCCTTCCACTCAACTTTCTGTTAACATGCTTGGATACAGCACTCTGTGAACAGCCAGCTTCTTTGGCAATGAATGTTTGTGGCTTACCCTCCTTGTGAAGGGTGTCAATGATTGTCTTCTGGACAACTGTCAGATCAGCAGTCTTCCCCATGATTGTGTAGCCTAGTGAACCAAACTGAGAGACCATTTTGAAGGCTCAGGAAACCTTTGCAGGTGTTTTGAGTTGATTAGCTGATTGGCATGTCACCATATTCTAATTTGTTGAGATAGTGAATTGGTGGGTTTTTGTTCAATGTGAGCCAAAATCATCACAATTAAAAGAACCAAAGACTTAAACTACTTCAGTCTGTGTGCATTGAATTTATTTAATACACGAGTTTCACAATTTGAGTTGAATTACTGAAATAAATGAACTTTTCCACGACATTCTAATTTATTGAGATGCACCTGTATATATAATGCGTGCCCATCTCACATTTCTGGTGAAGATCATACACTTGCAAAAATGGCCTGTAATATAACCCATTTAACTCATAATAATATTTTGCAGACCATGCAAAACATTAATAACCACTGATAAATAATAATAATAACAATGTAATGACTTTCCATTGACCAAATTAAAATAAAAAAATTATAATTTAACAGGAACAGAGACTTTTCTGCTTTTGAGAGAAAAGCAGGTCAACATCAACTAATCCTGCAACTGTAAGGGGATGCCTCTGAGCTTCAGAAGGCATGAATATGTGCAGTAGGTGTCTCCACCTGCTTTGTAGAGTTGGTTGTTTTCTTGTTAATGTGGATTGTGTCAAAACAGGAAATAGTGTGCAGCACACACACTAGCCTCCGTGCATTACTTGGTAGCAGTAAATATTTGTCTAGCAACACAAGACCTTCTGTTACGACGCTTCTTTTCACAGGAAACCTGTAAAACCACTTCACGATCTATCATTCAACACACTGTTGGAACCAAACAGACTTTACATAATTTTCCTAAAGTTCAGTTGGCTTTCCTGTAAATGTGTGCTGGTTTCAACTTTATCTTTGACTTAAATGTTAGCATTCAAATGCATAGTGCATCTGAGGTGCATGAGGGTATATTAACTTGCTTCCTTTTCACTGGTAAGGACATCTTTCTTGAGAGGAGTGTGTCGGCCTGTAGCAGGAGCATCATGCTGTAATGGACTCCAGTCAAAGACCTATGAGGGCCTATGTTTTGTTTTTTTTTAGCTGTGAGGCTACTAAATGATGCCTCAATGCAAAGGTTGAAAAAACTTTGAAACCTTTTACATTTGACTTACTGAGAGAGTAAGTGCTTTCAGCAGGTATTGCCAACCACAAAGGAATAGTTCACCCAAAAATGAACATTTGCTGAAAATGTTCTCACCCTCAGGCCATTTAAGATGTAGATGTGTTTTTGTTGTTGTTGTTTGTTTCTTTATCAGAACAGATTTTGGAGAAATTTAG